CAAGTGGTAGAAAAAAAGGAGAAGCAAAGTAAACTTGATACTGCTAATGCTCAAATGGAGCAGCTTGCCTCAAACCTGGTTGAGAAGGATATTCCAGTCATCCATTCCACTGCAACTTTGGTTAGATCAGTACCAGATGCTGCTTTTCCAAATAAGGAGGTTCACACCTCTAATTCTTTTTCTGCTTTGGGTGACGCAAGTATGAATCCTGTTATTGACATAAGTGTGAATCATGTTATTGAGACTAGAATGGCCAGAGCTGCTTCCCAAGGTGTTGCTGCTGTCACCAAGGCAGAGGCAACAAAAGAAGAAGTCAAATTCCTCAAGTGAGGTATCCTCTTCTCAACCCAAATGAGAATTCTGTTATGGAATATTAGGGGCATTAATATGCTCAGTAAGCAAAGAGAGCTCAAAAAATATTTTTCCCAGTATCATGTTGATATAGTTTGTTTATTGGAGACTAGAGTTTAGCAAGCTAAACACATGGCAATTTCTAGTTTCTTGTTACCATCCTGGTCTATGCTCCACAACTATGAGCATTCCAGAATTGGTAGAATTTGGATTCTTCACAAGAATCATATTCACATCACTGTCTCTTCCATGAGCTGCCAAGCCATTCATTGCCATGTTTATAATTCTTTGTCTAGCCAATATTTTTTTTTGAGTGCCATTTATGCTGATCCTTACTCGGATGCTGGTAGACAAACATTATGGGATGAATTAATTCTTTTTAGCAAGGCACTACCTGCTGTTCCATGGCTAGTGGGAGGGGATTTCAATGACATAAGGTCTCCCTCAAAGAGATCAGATGCAGCAAGCATCCAAAAAGAATCTCTTTCTTTTCATGATAAGCTTAATGCTGTTGAGCTCCATGACATTCCTTCCTCGGGTTCTTATTTCACCTGGTGCAACAATAGGGAGGATGGTCCCATTACTAAAAAGTTGGATTGCTTAATGGTCAATGATGTTTGGTTTGACTTATTTCCATGCACTAATGTAGAACTTTTGCCCCCTAGCTGCTCAGACCATTGTGCAGGTTTGGTAGGTATCCAAGCCCCTAAAGTTAACAATCAAAGGAGACCATTTAAATTCTTCAACTTCTGGATCAAGAATGAGAAGTTTTTGGACATAGTGAAGTAAGTCTGGGAAACAACTCAAGTGCAAGGTTGCTATATGTTCCAACTTTGCAAAAAGCTAAAGGCTCTAAAACTTGCCCTCAAGAAATTAAATGCTGAACACTATGTTGATCTCTCATATAAACTATGGCAGGAAAAGCAAAAATTGCATCTGATTCAAGCAGATTTATTGGCTAATCCTTTTGCAGAAATGGTTCAGGTTGAGCATGATCAGGTTCAAAAAGTTGCGGCTCTACAATTGGCTGAGGAATCATTCTACAGGAAAAAATCATGAATAAAATGGTTGCAAGAGGGTGATAGCAACACCACCTATTTTTACAAGGTAGTCAAAGTTAGGAGGGGGAAAAGTGTAATTAAGGAACTCTATACAAAAGACAACAAAAGGCTTACCATAGTTTTTAGCATGGAGAATGAGGCAGTCAGATTTTATCAAGAGCTTCTTGGAACTATAGATTCAAATTGTACTGAGGCTAGTAATTCTTGGCTTAAAGGTCTGTTCAATTTTCAGCTACCTGTAGATATGGCAAACTCTCTCTTCCATCCTATTACAGAGGAAGAGATTAAGGTTCTAGTTTTCTCAAGTCTTGGAAATAGGTCTCTTGGCCTAGATGGTTTTACAGTAGAATTTTATAAAGCTGCCTGGTCTATTGTGGGTGACTTAGTTGTCAAAGCTATTAAAGAATTTTTCTCCCCTGGTCAATTGCTAAAGGAGGTTAACTCCACCATCATATCCTTGGTGCCAAAGATCCAGAATCCAACAAAAATGACAGATTTTAGACCCATTGCCTGCTGTAATCTGCTTTACAAGTTTATTACAAAAATCTTGGCCAATAGATTCAAGAAATGTCTACCTCTCTTTATCAGCAGGACTTAGTGTGCTTTTGTGGAGGGTAGGCTTATGGTAGAAAATATTCTCCTTGCCCAAGAAATTGTGAAATATCACCATAAGCAGTGCTTGAGCCCCAAATGTGCTCTGAAAATTGATTTAATGAAAGCTTTTGATTCAGTATCTTGGGATTTTATATTCCAAATTCTACTCTCTCTTGGCATTCCCAGTCAATTTGTCAATCTGGTTAAAGCCTGTGTGACTACTCCTAAATTTTCTGTGGTTTTCAATGGAAATTTATGTGGTTACTTCTCAGGAGAGAAAGGAGTTAGGCAAGGGGATCCCTTATCCTTATACATTTTTGTGGTATGCATGGAGGTCCTTTCTCGTATGTTGAACAAAGCTGCTGAGGAAGGAAAATTTGCTTATCACCCTAAATGCAAAACTGTGCAGCTCACACTCTTATGTTTTGCTGATGATCTCATGATATTCACAGATGGTAGCCTAGCCTTTCTAAATGCAATTGATGTTGTCTTGACGCATTTCTATTAGGTTTCTGGCTTGAGAGTGAACTATGCTAAGTCAGAATTGTTCTGTTGTGGGTTCTCTACATCACATACCTAGTTGCTTGCTGAAAAATTTGGTTTCAAGATTGGTACACTGCCAGTCAGATATTTAGGAGTACCATTGATCACGGGGAAGCTTGCAAAGAAGGATCTCAAGCCTTTAGTCTCTAAAATCATTGAGAGAATGTCCTTTTGGGTTGTTAAACATCTCTCCTTTGTTGGTAGATTACAACTAATCTCCTCGGTAATTCAAGGCATCACCAATTTTTGGTGTTTTGTTTTCATATTGCCTAAAGGGGTTTAAAGAAGTGGAAAAGATATGTGGTGCTTTTCTTTGGAATAATGAAACTTGCGGTGCTAGAAGAGCTAAGGTGAGCTAGTTGCATGTTTGTACTCCAAAACAGGAGGGCGGTCTAGGACTCTGGAACTTAGTTAAGTGGAATCAAGCTTGCATTTTAAAGTTTATATGGTTGTTATTCTCAAAGGCAGGTTCTGTTTGGGTTCCTTGGGTCTAGGAAAACTTACTCAAGGGCAGAAGCTTTTGGTCCATTAACATTCCTTCTGATGCTTCTTGGGGATGGAGGAAAATTTTAAAACTAAGGCCATTAGCTAGAAGGCTAATCCAGCACATACCAGGGAATGGTCAGAACACTTATCTCTGGCATGATAATTGGCACCCTGCTGGCCCACTGTTAGAAGTTTATGGAAACTTTATTGTTCATGATGTAGGGATACCTTCCCAAGCTAAACTAGCCAGTGTTATAAGTGGTAGATTTTGGAATTGGCCTCCTGCTAGATCTCCCCAATTGGTGGAAATCCAAATACCTCTTTTTGATATTCATCCTA